CAGCCCTCCACACACCCCCACCCACACCCCATACGCCCTCACCAGGACCCAGCCCTCCACACACCCCCACCCACACCCCATATGCCCGCACCAGGACCCAACCCTCCACACACCCTCAGCTCCCACCCACCCAGACCCCATACACCCTCACCAGGACCCAGCCCTCCACACACCCCCACCCACACCCCATATGCCTGCACCAGGACCCAACCCTCCACACACCCTCAGCTCCCACCCACCCACACCCCATACGCCCTCACCAGGACCCAGCCCTCCACACACCCCCACCTCACACCCACCCAGACCCCATACGCCCTCACCAGGACCCAGCTCTCCACACACCCCCACCTCACCCCCACCCACACCCCGTACGCCCTCACCAGGACCCAGCCCTCCACACACCCCCACCCACACCCCGTACGCCCTCACCAGGACCCAACCCTCCACACACCCCCACCTCACACCCACCCACACCCCATACGCCCTCACCAGGACCCAGCCCTCCACACACCCCCACCTCACACCCTATACACCCCAAAGTCACACCCACCAGAGCCCAGAGCTCTATGTAGCCCCACTCCCACCCCCACAGTCATTCCCACCCTCTGTGAAACCCCCATCCCCACAAGAGCCCCAGTTCTATTCACACCCCTCGGCACTCCAACCCCCTGGCACCCCATGTCCCTTTGTCAACCCATCTGCTCCCTGTCCCCTCCGCCCCTAACAGAACCCCGCACATCCCAGCCCATGGGCCCCCATAGGCGCCCAGCCTACCCACTGCACATGCACCCAGCGTATGCAGCCCCCCGACTCACACAGCTCCTACAACCCCTGGGACCCCCCATACCCCCCCCCGCACCTGTCAGGGCAGGTATCTCTAGCCATGGCCCCAAGAGCCGAGCCAAACCCAGCCCAGGTGTCCTGGCAGGTGGGGAACCCCCCACCCCTTCATGGAGACAGTGCAACCAACTGCTCCAAAGAGAACCACGGAGCCTCTCTCCGCTGCCTGCTCGGTGCCCCCACTTGCCTATCACACCTCCCGGCCTCTGATTGGTGTGCCAGGGAATCCCCGCCTCCCCCTCCTGCACTTGGGAAGGGTGTTTCAATGTGCACCTGCTGGTCTCTGATTGGCTCATGCAAAGAGCACCTGGGGCTGGGATTGGAGGCCGGACCAGGAGCTCCCACCCTACTAGGCTGTGCCATGTGGGTGAGTCTTGCCACGCTCCCAGGAGCTTCCCAGCCCGTGGGGGTGGGGGGTTGAAGTGGGTGGTACGTTCCAGCCTCATACCCACCGCCCGCAGCCCCCGCTCTGCACTCTGCCCTCAGACCTGGGGGGGCCGGAAAGCAGCGGCTGCTTTGACCTTTGTGCTTGGGGGTGGGGGGGAGTTGAGGCCAATGTTGGGGTGGCTACAGCCCTCCCCCCAGCATTGCCCCCCTGTGTGTTCTTTTGGGGTGCTGCCCAGCTCCGTGCAGACAGCTGGTTCAGAGACATCCACCGCACTACCCGGTGTTACTGAGTGCTGAAGACTGGAACGTCCTCACCTTAGTAACGCTGCCAGGAACGGCTCAGTCAGTGGCGGGACTGTCCACTGCCCCCTCGGCTCAACAAAGAATTAAGGCAAAGTGCCCCGACAAACAACTGGGATACACAACTACCACCCCACCTTACATGTGTCCTGACAGCGGTGTGTTACCGCCCCTTCTGCCTGATATCTTGGACAGAACATCCCTCTCCATTGATTAGTCAACCAGCTTGCACTAGACTGGGCAGCATGTGTATGAGCTGGGATAGAGTTACGTAAATCTCTAGTGCCCGGGACACTAGCAACAACTTTGCCAAGTTCATGTACTGGGCAGTGAACGTGTGAGCATCTGCTTCAATACATGGCCTGGCTTGGTTTCACAGCCTCTGGCTCAGGCCCACTGCTCCAGGCTTTTTCTCTCTACAATACCCCAATCTATGGTGATTACTCAGGGCAGCAGTTCTCCTCCCAGACTGAGGGAATCTTACATTAGTCAGTAATTAGAGACAGAACGAATCTGTGAACATTGAGGAGAGTTTATAGCAGGGGTAGGCAACCAATGGCACATGTGCCAAAGGCGGCACGCGAGCTGATTTTCAGCGGCACTCACACTGCCCGGGTCCTGGCCACCGGTCCGGGGGGCTCTGCATTTTAATTTAATTTTAAATGAAACTTCTTAAACATTTAAAAACCTTATTTACTTTACATACAACAATAGTTTAGTTATATATTATAGACCTATAGAAAGAGACCTTCTAAAACCGATAAAATGTATGACTGGCACGCAAAACCTTAAATCAGAGTGAATAAATGAAGACTCCGCACACCACTTCTGAAAGGTTGCTGACCCCTGGTTTATAGCCGTACTTGATAATTAAGAGAAAGTGAGGAAAAATCTGAGAAGATTTACACAAATTGGCTAAGCAGACAGGAAAAAAGCAAAATCTGAAAGGTTTCATCGCAAGTGGGTGTTTAAAGCAAAACCACACAATCTTTATGCAGAGATTATATCAGTGACCCATCCAGAGAGGGAAAGTGATCAGCGGGGAGGGGTGGGGAGTAAGTGAAGAAGGGGGGGAATCTGGGCAGCAATATTTGATGACTGGAGAGAAAAGCGGCAAGATTGGAGGGTGGAATATCTGCATATTAAATCATTCTGTGGTAGAGCAGGAAAAGTGGAGGGAGGTATGTCAACTTTACCCTCAAAATATTACAGTAAAAGCATGTTCTCAACGGTGCACAGTTGAGTAGGGTTACCATATTTAACCAATAAAAAAAGAGGAACCCCCATGGCCCCTGGCCCCGCCCATTTCCCCACCCCCACCCCAACTCCACCCCTTCCCCGCCCTAACTCCGCCCCCTCCCACTCCCAGCCACGCGAAAAGGGCTGCCTGAGCGCTACCTGCTTCACGGTTTGCCGGGCAGCCCCCAGACCCTGCGCCCCCGGCCGGCGCTTCCCCAGCGCAGCTGGAGCCCGGGAGGGGAAGCGCCCAGCCTGGGGTGCAGGGTCTGGAGGCTGCCCGGCAAACCGTGAAGCCGGTAGCGCTCGGGCTTTGGGCAGCCCCCATGCTTCTGGACCCTGCGCCACCGGAGCCCGGGAGGGGAAGTGCCCGGCCAGCGGCTGGGGTCCGGAGGCAAGGGGGCTGCCTGAAGCCCATAGCGCTCGGGCAGCTTGGCTCTTAAACAGAGCCGAAGAGTCAGGGGAGGAGCACAGCAGCCGCGGTAGAGGAAGTGCCCGGCCGGTGGTATTTTTCCCGGACATGTTCGGCTTTTTGGCAATTCCCCCCGGATGGGGGTTTGAGTGCCGAGAAGCCGGACATGTCCGGGAAAAACTGGACGTATGGTAACCCTACAGTTGAGCAGTCTCAGATACCATCGCTAGAATCAAGGATGTCTGGGCCCTGTTAATTCAGCCCCATGCGTCTGAGCCTTGCTATATTATCTCCAGTGACAGGATCACACACTGCAGCGCTCATTAACACAGGACCCTGCCTCATTCAGGGTACATCTACCCTGCAGAGCCCCCCAAAACACCACAAAAACCACTGCAGCGAGTCTCAGGGCCTGGGGCTAAAATAGCAGTGTCTAGGCTCAGGCTGGAGCTGGGGTCTGAGATCCTCCCCCCTTGCCAAGTTTCAAAGCCCAGGGTCCCACCTGAACCCAAACTCCCACATTGCTATTTTAGCCCCAAAGCCAAGTCAAATGGCCTGTGCTCTGAGATCCCCGACTCGGGTCTCTATTTGCAATGTAGACGAACTCTGCGAATGTTAAGCTCTGAAGTCTCCGAGGGAGCGAACATGTCCCTGACCCATCTCTGGAATTCAGTGGCTCCTCTTGACTTGCCCCAGGGTGGTAATGGGGCTGTGTGTGAACATGGCAAATCACCCCAAACAAACACTCTCCCCTCTCTGCTCTGTCTTAATTACTCTGGGCAAAAAAAAACCTGATTCCCTCCCACAACCCGGGTGTGGGGTGTGTTACATTTTCTCTGTCTATGCCCCAAATTGCTCCTTTTTCTTCTCTGTTTGTGGTGCTGGAAACTTTCAAACTGAAATCCATGTTCTGGGGCTTCCCTGCACCCTTGTCCGGGCTGAGCTGTGACCTGCAGACTCGGAAATAACAACACTTAGATAAAACCCTTCTTCAGTTTGCGGCTCTGCCACATCCCGGGTGCAGTCCAGGCCGGGCAGAGCAGACATGCCAGCTCTCGCAAACTGATCCCGAGTCACAATTCCTGAGTCAAATTAAGCCCCCCTCAGAGATCTCCTGGGAGAACTCTCTCTCACATGGCAGGATTCTTTTCCCACCTGAGGCACATTCTTAAAATGGGTTTCCAGCCAAACAGGAGTGACCTGCCCTACACAAAGGAACGTGCTTCCTCCATGAGGCAGTTACTGCCACAGCACTTGGAAAGACAATGAGAGATCTCTTACAGAGCAGGGAAACAAAGCTAGCAAGGGGCGGGGGGAGGGAGATCTTCAGCTAAGATAGAAAGAAGCGGGGAGGAGCCAAACGGGGGGAAAAAATTCTGACATCTGAGAGTTCTAAAAGTGAGGCTTCAATTTTACTTACAAATCCTGTCAGCTGCCCCAGATGAGGCAGGGCTCCAGCTGCCAGGCCCAGGTGGCTGTTCCCCTGCTGTCCTGGGACGTGGGAGAGGGGCCCCCACTGCAGCCCCCCTGTGACGGTGCCCCCATAAGCCTTTATGGGAATATGCTTATGAATGTATCTATGACATAACTGGAATATGTTTTATGCTACATATGCCATGTAACATATCTCTGTAAAGGTTATAATCTACTGAATATGTTCATCCTATTTGTATACATGTGTCATTGTATTAGAAGTTATGAATATTGTCTGTTTACTTGTTTGATTTAAATAACCTTAGTAAGGCATTTGGTCAGTTTCTTTAGAAAGGAATGTGCAAATTAAGTGCCCAATCAAGAAGCACTTAAGGGACAATGGATTTTGGGAGGCTCCAATCCACACAAGACGTCTACATGGGGACATTCAAGGTAGCAGGTAAGCAATGGCTGCTGCCTGTAAAAACTGAGTCATGCATGGACATGTGACTTGCCCATGTGACTCCAAAACTCCATCTTGGAGCTGGACTTAGCATAGGAGAGAGGAAGGGGTCTCCACCCACAAGAGAAAGTCTAGTTAAACCCCTGGAAGAACCCTCCATTTTGTCTTCAGATGGCTCAAGAAATAGCCTCTCCACCCCCAAGGATACCTGAAAGAAACTGGAACAAAGGACAGTAACTACAGGGGGTGTGAATGATTGCTGGACCCAGACTAGAAGGAGACTAGTCTGTAAAAGGAAGCTTACTGTGTGAGGTTTTTATCTGTATTCATTTTTTTCACTGTATTAGACATAGACTTGTGTGTTCTATTTTATTTGTTTGGTAATTCACTTTGTTCTGTCTGCTATTACTTGGACCCACTTAAATCCTACTTTCTGTATTTAATAAAATCACTTTTTACTCCATTACATGCGTCTGATGAAGTGGGTATTCACCCACGAAAGCTTATGCTCCAGTACATCTGTTAGTCTATAAGGTGCCACAGGACTCTTTGTCACTTTTTACTTATTACTCTTATAACCCAGAGTATGTATTAATACCTGGACGGGGAGAAAACAGCCGTGCATATCTCTCTATGCCTCACAACCATGCAAATATCGCTTTTCCCAGCACACTTACTAGCTCCCTGGGAGGCTGGGAAAAGTGATACTTGCCTGTTTGTTAATATCCCTTTTCCCAGCCTCCCAGGGAGCTACTGAGTGTGCTGTGAAAAGCACTATTAAACACACAAATATCATTTTTCACCTTATTTTTATTATTGTCTGAAAAAACCCGACATAAATAAATGACAATGATTTGGACACGTGTATGTGCATATTTATTTGTTTTTCCTAAAGTTTAAGTATTTTAGGGAAAAGTGT